ACACGCACACACACGCGGTAGGTTTACCGCCAGTCCTTTGCCTTTTACAAACAGAACGTCAACATATTCGTACGTAGCATTTTTACAGCTGATACCTTACTATTACTCCATCAACACCAGCCATGTGTGATGGTAAACATCCGGGTCTTACAATTCATACATCCGGGATGTATGACCGTGAAAATTCGGGATTTTAAACTGTAAAAATCTACGATGTGATGACCTGAACATACGGGATGTTGGACCGTGAACATACGGGATGTTGGACCGTGAACATACGGGATGTTGGACCGTGAACATACGGGATGTTGGACCGTGAACATACGAGATGTTGGACCGTGAACATCCGGGATATTAAACCGTGAACATCCGGGATGTTGGATTGTGAACATCCGGGATATTAAACCGTGAACATCCGGGATGTTGGATTGTGAACATCCGGAATGTTTGCGCGAGTGGAACACTGTCGCTCTTCGACAGAAAATATATTTTATTTAATCAGTAATAGTCGATAATCGATATTACGCATATATATAAGTTACGTTGTCAATCGATATCATATTGAATAGTGTGGTAAATGCTTATATAAGAGGCTTTTAAAAGTTGAAATGTTGCTAAAAAAAAAGAGATATATATACACACGTTTTGTCTGTCCTTATTAATATCGAAATAATACCATATATGATCATCTCTGATGGATGAAATTATATCTATAATCAATCATTATTACGTATACCTAATTATATTCATATATATATATATATATATATATATATATATATATATGTATATATATATATATGCGTGTGTGTGATTATATATATATATATATATATATTATTGCTCTAGCGTGGTCGTGTACCGGATGTATTATTGTAATGATGATTATGTAACGGAACGCGAGAGATGTAATGTAATGGCAGCTGTGTTAAAGACACGCTGTGTCATGCTTGTGTAACTAACGTTTATTGTAACGTTACGTTATTCTAACGTTTATTGTAATGTTACGTTATTCTAACGTTGTATTGTAATGTTACGTTATTCTAACGTTGTATTGTAATGTTACGTTATTCTAACGTTTATTGTAACATTACGTTATTCTAACGTTTGTTGTAACGTTAGTGTAACGTTATTGTAACGTTACGTTACAAGATATAATTAAGTTACCCCCCCGGGGGCCCTACCCCACCCCGCGCCCCCAATATCAGGGCTTATATATATGGAATCACGTGACTCGTGTGTGCGCATGCGCGAGAGAGGAAAGGCTCAACGCTAGAGAGCGCGACGTACGATAATCTAGTCAATCCTGCAGAACTGTAATAGATGCAGGCAGTCATCTATGTTGCTGCCTCTTGTTTTGTCCGGAGTATATAATATATTTATATCAGTTCGCGAGAATGATAAAAATGGTGGTCAATAGAATGCGGGAGTCTCGCCTGGGTGAGATTAACACACCCTCATTCTCGTCGTTGTTCGCATTGTTCTTTTCATTGTTCTTTGTGTAGTTCCTCGCATTGTTCTTTGCGTGGTTCTTCGCATTATTATTTTAATTGTTCTTTGCGTAGTTCTTTGCATTGCTCTTTGCATTGTTCTTTCAATTGTTCTTTGCGTAGTTCATCGCAGTGGTCTACGCATTGTTCTCCGCGTTGTTCTTCACTCGCGAACGCCGATTGTCGACGCTGCGGCACTTCGTTGCCGAGCATTGTCTTTTTCGAATGTTCTATCGTGATGCTGATTGGCTAGCGCTGACTGCCCAGCGGCCGCAGGAGTGCGCACTATATTACGCGACAAGCGAGTGGAGTGGAGGCATGAAGTAATCTACTCAGAGCCGTGTAGCCTCGGTTGGGGGGGGGGCAAGATTTTCTAGAGATTTTCGAGCAAAATTAAAAAAATAAGCTTACCTAATAATCGTAAATAACCCTAACGTTTTTGGTCTTCACTTATCTGTGAAAGTCTTGTCTTAGACCCCCCCCCCCACCCCTACCACACTATGGACGTCGATCAAGAGCTGCGCCCGTCGCTCATCATTACACAGTTGAGTCATGAAAGTTTGCACCCGCTCCGAGGAATTTGTTCAGCCTACGGCCCTACTACTATATACTACAGCTAGATTTCTACTTTTTGATTATTACTAATACTAATTCTATTCTACTACTTTCTGATTATTACTTTACTGTTTCCGTCTTCGATGTAGTCCTTCGGACTTTGAAGACTGTTGTTTACGAGGTTATACTGCTAGTTTCAGGGGACGAGTCCACGACATGCGCAAACGTCAATGTCACCTTGAAAATAAATCAAATGCGGAGATGAATTTCACGTGAGTCTATATAAGAAATTTCAAGCTTTGACAGTTTAAAAAAATGCGAATATGTTTTGAATTGTTGTTATCGGATAATGCAGGAAATGCAATATTTATAGCCTACCAAACTCTTACTTTTTTAAATTCGAGGGGAGCATCGACTGGTCCCCTCCGCTGTAGCTTTCTCTCTTAATCAGAAAT